ACACAGAAACTTAGGGGCCTTCTTTTTAAAATTTTATTTATCAGGGGTGCCTGGGTGGCTCAGTGGGTTAAAGCCTCTGCCTTCGGCTCAGGTCATGATCCCAGGGTCCTGGGATGGAGCCCCACATAGGGCTCTTTGCTCAGCAGGGAGTCTGCTTCCCTTCCTCTCTCTCTGCCTGCCTCTCTGCCTGCTTGTGATCTCTGTCTGTCAAATAAATAATAAATAAAATCTTTAAGAAAAGGTTTTATTTATCTATTTATTTTGAGAGAGAGAGAGAGAATCTCAGGCAGGCTTTGTGCTGAGCTGGGAGCCTGATTCGGGGCTCTATCTCACAGCCCTGAGATCATGACCTGAGCCAAGGTCGAGAGTAGGGTGCTCAACCGACAGCTGCCCAGGTGCCGCCAGAGTCACTTTTGAGGAAGGGAGCCGTTTGTAAGGCCTGACGTCTTACAGAGGCCACTGAAGGGAACTGAAAAAGCAAACTCTGGATATCCTGATTTCTGAGACCACATCAGTGTTTTGTAGATTGGGAGGCAACGTCAACTTAGGCATACATTTAATACGATGTCCCCCCAAGAAGCTATTATTAAATCGATGTAAATCATATAATCAGGGCTTCTTAGAATTGAGGAATGCCATAACTGGTGATCTTAGTAAAAGCAGTTTTACTTCCAAGGTGAGAGCCCAAGACTACTGCAGTAGGCTGATCAGTGAACCAGCGTGTGGGGCTGAAAACCCCAGGAGGCCTGTGGAGGGAGGAGCAGGAGGCTGAGGGCAGGCTCCGTGCACAGGGAAGGGCCAGACATCGATTGAGGCCTTTGAGTTTTGTGGTTTTTCTTATTGTGAACTTAGAGTAGATCAAGCATCACCGTGAAAAGGATGAATTTTCCTTCTGTTTTGTTTACCATGTGCATGAGTGGGGCATCTGGGTGTGTGTAGTGAGCCAAGTACGGGTCCAAGCTTCAGGGCAGAGGGTTGGGGGGCATGACGAGGCAAGGGGAATACGAAATAGATGAGGACAGTAGGAGGGAGACTGCGCGTGTCCTGATGGAGCTCGGGTGCGGTAAGGGGACGCTCTCCACTCTGCTGGTCTATCTGTGAAAGTTCTAGAAAAGGGTTAGCCTTTTCAAGGCAGATACCATGAGGACAGTGGTTTGGTGGGCTGGGACATAAGCATTTTGCAGGCAGAGTTTATATTTATTTATATGTCTTTTTTAAAAAAAGATTGTATTTATTTGAGAGAGAGAAAAGTCACAAGTAGGCAGAGAGGCAGACTGAGGGGGAGGGAGAAGCAGGCTCCCTGCCGAGCAGAGAGCCCGACATGGGGCTCCATCCCAGGACCCTAAGATCATGACCTGAGCCGAAGGCAGAGGCTTAACCCACTGAGCCACCCAGGTGCCCTATTTATATGTCTTACTGAAGAAACTGTGAGGTCAGAAAAATAAGTGTGTACAGAGGATCTATGGGCAGATGAGGATAATAATAATAATAATAATTGAAGATAAAGTAGTTACTTGGTGCTTCCTGTTGTAGGCACTTTATTTGTATTAGCTTGTTTAACTCTTAACCACAGGCCTTTGATGTAGAAACTGTTATTATCCCCATTTTACAGATGGGTGAACTGAGGTTCAGAGTGACTAAGGTAGCCTGCCCGGGTCACTCAGCCTAGGAGGTCCCAGAGCTGGGATTTGAGTCAGGCAGCCTGGTTGCAGAGGCTTGTTCAGGAAGGATGAGCAGGGGCGGGGTGGGGGTGGTTGGGGAGTGGTCCACGATGGTGAGGTGTCGAGGAGAGCATGCGGTGTGAGGCTGGGCCGAGGCATGCAGGGACTCACAAGCACAGCAGAGCTTGTGTATTGGAGGTCAGGCCACAGGAGGTCAGCCACGATCCTGCCTCTGAGGGAGGTGGGGGTGGGGGGACAGGTACTGACCCTGAGATGTCAATTACTGTACAAGACGTTTATTAGGGAGTGCTCTTGGGATCCACACCTAGGGAAGGGCAGGGAAGGGAAAGGAAGCAGGATTGGGCAGAGGAAGAAGTTTGGTTATATCGAAGCCTCAGCCTGTTCCCCAGGAGAGCTTTGGGGTGGGAATAGCCTTTCTGTGTTTTCCCAACTTGGGGGGTTGGGGCATTGGGGCAGTAGAGCTGGGGCTCTCTGGAGCTGCCCTCCTGCTCTCATTCATTGCTGGGGCACTGCCCCTGCCCTGGTGCCAGGCATGCCCCTAGGCCCGGCAGTGTGCTGTCTGTCCCCAGAAGGGCTGGTGGCTGAGGGCCTTTGTCTGGCAGAAGTCCCAGCAGCTGGAAAACTAGTCCTTCATTCCTGAAGAGAGATTCTGCTCGAGCATCCTGCCGCACATCATAGGTAGCAAGCTGTAAAATTTGAGGATCTTAAAAACAGAGTTCCCATCATCCAAGCAGAGGAAGCTGACTGGGGCAAAAATCCAAAACATTTCATTATCAGCGTTCCCAATAACAGCTGAGTAAGAATGTCAGTGTGCCCAGTTTTCAATTAAGTGAGGGCTGTGTGATTTAATTTCTTGTCTCTCATTACGTTTGGTTGTAAATTTGACATTAAAATGTAATGCCCAATATTGTACAGATACAATGTAATAATACTATTAGAGATAATTCACAGGTGAAATGGACCTGACTTTTAAAAGAATAACATTTATTGTGTAGTCTGCCCCCATTAAGCCATGGCTTTTCTAAGAAACAGCATGGCTTATAAAAGGATGGTATAAAAAGGGGAAAGGGCATCTGGGTGGCTCAGGCAGTTAAGTGTCAGACTCTTGGTTTCAGCTCAGGTCATGATCTCCGGGTCGTGAGACAGAGCCCGGTGTCAGGCTCCCTGCTCAGCGTGGAGTCTGCTTGTCCCTTCCCGTCTGCTCCTTCCCCCAGCTCTCTCTCTCTCTGATAAATAAAAAATCTTTAAAAAATAAAATAAAAGTAGGGACGCCTGGGTGGCTCAGTTGTTTGGACGACTGCCTTCGGCTCAGGTCATGATCCTGGAGTCCCGGGATCGAGTCCCACATCGGGCTCCTGGCTCCGCAGGGAGTCTGCTTCTCTCTCTGACCTTCTCCTTGCTCATGCTCTCTCTCACTGTCTCTCTCTCAAATCAATAAATAAAATCTTTAAAAAAAAATAAAAATAAAAATAAAAAATAAAATAAAAGTAAAAAGGGAGAAAAGAGAGTGTAGGGGGAAGCTGTGTGCTCATCTGAGCTCTGGTCTTTTATAGTTATGAAAACATGGGCTAGCCCCTTAACTTTATATATATATAATTTTCTCATGTAAAATGGGAGAGAGAGAACACTTAATCTGGACTAATTCACAGTGTTGTGTCAAGTTGAGATAAATGTATAAAAGTATTTCTAAAATATAATTTAATTTAATTTATTTAAAGATTTTATTTTATTTTATTTGTCAGAGAGAGAAAGAGCACAATCAGAGGGAGCCGGAGGCAGAGGCAGAGGGAGAAGCAGGCTCTGTGCTGAGCAGGGAGCCTGATGCAGGACTCAGTCCCAGAACCCCAGGATCATGACCTGAGCTGAAGGCAGATGCTTAACCGACTGAGCTGCTAGGCTCCCCTGTATAAAAGTACTCTTTACATATTAGTTAAAAAACAAAACCAAAAACCAAAAACCCTCAAGGACTTTAGAGAACATCTAGTTCAAACCTTTCGTGTTTCAGGTGAGAAAAGGGAGCCTCAGAAGTCACAAGACCATATTCAGTTATGTGAGTAATCACACAGAGGAAGAATGTGCTCGCATGAATCTAAGGACGACGGACTCTTAGAATTATAACGAACGCACACGTGGTGGTTGAGCGTGGAAAACATGAATGGGATGTTTGTGCAAGTGCAGGTCTGCAGCCGAGTCTGGCTCTCCCAGAGTCCATCTCTGGTGCTGCGTGTCGAGTGCTGGACCCCCTGCCCGGCCACTGGCCAGTGGTGGTCGCACTTGGTTAGCCCTGCCCCACCCCCAACCCCCGCCCCAGCCCTTTACCCCAGTACACACCACGTCTTCCTTTCCTTCTCCACTGGGCGGGAGGAGATTCTTGGGGGAGGATCTCGCCCAGTCCCGGTCCTGGCTCCCTCTCAGGCCAGGCTGTGTGATCTTAGGCACGATTCTTTCCTTCTCATTGGCTTGGTTCCTCGTGTAAAACTGGATAATAACACTTGTCCTGCTGATCTGTCATGCTTCTTTCAAGGATCAAACGATGTAATGTGTGTGAAAACACTTTAAAAAGCACAAAATGCCCTACAAATGTCAAGTGTTGTTATTATCCTCGTTATTGCTCCTCCCTCCCTCCCTCCCTCCCTCCAAGACTCCCTGCCTCCTGTCCCCCCCCCTTCCCCCACTCCCTGCCTCCCCTCCCCGCCTTCCCGGTCTCCAGCTTTGCTGGCTTCCTGCCAGGAGTGTCTGACAAGTGGTTGCAATTAATTATTTGTTGAGAAGCTTTCTCTGAACCATGAAATGTCATTGCGAAGCTGTTCTCGGACGAGTAGGAATCCAATTAGATTATTGGGAGTTGCTGGGGATCCTGGGGGGCTCAGTGGGTGAAGCGTCTGCCTTTGGCTCAGGTCATGATCCCGGGGCCTGGGATCGAGTCCCACGTCGGGGTCTCTGCTTAACAGGAAGCCTGCTTTTCTCTCTCCCCTGCATCTACCATGCTTGTGCTCTGTCTCTCAAATATATAAAATCTTAAAAAAATTAAAAAGATTATTGGGAGTTGCAGAGGGAAACAGAAGGAGTAAAAGAAATTACATTCAAAAGAAATACTTCATTTCCATTGATAATGGAAGGATTGGCCTGCGGTTATGGCAGAAAGCATTTAAAGAAAATGTTTAGGATATTGGTGAGAGGGTGTGAGACCCAGGAGGAGCTTGGATCACAGAATCTCCTCGCCTTGGAGAAGCCCTGGGAGGTGCCCAGCCTCCGAAGCCCTGTCAGCGGGGATGCTCTTCTGTCCCCTCCTGATGGGGCTGCCCCTGTCCTCCTCAGGCTCCCTGGCGCTGAGCAGGGGTGCGGTGTACACGTCGGAACCTGAAGTCTCCGTTGCTGAGAATAAACGTGAGTGCGGGGCAGCTCGGGGGTGGGGCTCTGGGGCGGGCGGGAGCAGGTGCATGTCCCCCGGGGACTTGGAGAGCATCCAGCATGGGCCACTGTTGGGGGCCATCTCCCCTTTCCCATTTGCTGCTGCTCCTTCCTCCTCTTCACTTCTGTCCTGTCTGCAGCCGCCAAGCTGCCCTGCTCCTACTCCGGCTTCTCCTCTCCCCGCGTGGAGTGGAAGTTTGCCCAAGGTGACATCACCAGCCTCGTTTGCTATAACAACAAGATCACAGGTGAGTTGTCCTTCCTTTCTGATGGCCCAGGTTGTGGAGGGACTGATGGGCCTGGATTCCAGGGGAGAGTTGCGGCCTGGGGCTCGGGTCCCGCGCACTTCCCGTGGCCTCTCCTGCCACCAGCGCCGGCTTCTCTCAGCTCTCCGGCTCATTCAGCCTGTCCTTCCTCTCTCTCTTGGTAGCTTCATATGAGGACCGAGTTACCTTCTCACATAGTGGCATCACTTTCCATTCTGTGACCCGGAAAGACACGGGCACGTATACGTGTATGGTCTCCGATGAAGGCGGAAACACGTATGGGGAGGTCACCGTCAAGCTCGTCGTGCTTGGTATGCGCCACGCCCTTTCTGTGTGGTCTTGGCATTCATTGCTTCCCTAAACCCTCACAGGCTCTGGTGAGCTTTGGAGCTCACTGATGGTGAGAACGCTCCTGGCTGGGGGGATTCAGAGTTCCGGTGCCGGCAGAGGGGCCGAGCCCCTGCGGGGGGAGGCTGAGGGCATGGTGTGGGTTGGAGGCTAGAGCTGAGGGATGGGGTATCAGCGGTGTAGCCTCTGGGCAGTGCCCTCTGACCTGGGCTCAGCCCCTTCTGTCCCTTCACAGTGCCTCCCTCCAAGCCTACTGTCAGCGTCCCCTCCTCTGCCACCATTGGGAGTCGGGCAGTGCTGACCTGCTCGGAGAAGGATGGCTCTCCCCCTTCTCAGTTCTACTGGTACAAGGACGGGGTCCTGATGCCCACGGAGCCCAAGAGCAACCGAGCCTTCAGCAACTCTTCCTACACCCTGGATCACAGGACCGGGGAGCTGGTAGGGGTGGGGTAGCGAGGGAGGGCGGGGGCAGTTACAGAACCCTTGAGGGTGGGGAGGAATAGCTACAGGTGAATTTGGCTTCGGGGTCAGGAGACAAAAGACGGGCACTTGGACACATGGTAGGATGAACGTTGCATAACGTGTAGAACAGTTGAGTCATTATGTCGTGTACCTGAAAGTAACGTGATGTAATTTGTCACCTCTAGTGCAGTTAAGAAGCAAAAACAGGTGCGCCTGGCTGACTCAGTCACTGGAGGCTTGCGAGTCTTGGTCTCAGGGTCGTGAGTTCAAACTCCACGTTGGGCGTAGGACTTAAAACACACACGGAAAAAAAAAAACACACGAAAAAGCAGAAGTAGGACCTTGGCTTCTTCGGGCAGGAAGCCAACTGTTTTCTTCACTCCAGGTCTTCAACCCCGTTTCGGCCTCTGACACCGGCGAGTACACGTGTCAGGCACAGAATGGCTATGGGACCCCCATGCGGTCAGACGCTGTGCGCATGGAGGCCGGTGAGCACGGGTGTGCGGAGTGGCGGCGTGAGCTCGGGCCTGGGGTGGGGGTCGGGGTCTGCTTTTCTTCCTGGCTTTGGTGGTGGTGTCAGCAGTGGGAGTGAGCCGTCAGGGCCCTGACCTCTTGTTTGTGTCTCATAGCGGAGTTGAATGTGGGGGGCATCGTGGCAGCTGTCCTTGTGACGCTCATTCTCCTTGGATTCTTGATTTTGGGCATCTGGTTCGCCTATAGACGAGGCTACTTTGACAGTGAGTATCTGCCCTCAGAGGCTGTCCTTTTTATCGTCCCCCTTTCAGGGCACGGTTCTTGGGTGCCTCCTGAGCACAGAGCGGATAGTGAGCCCACACATGCGGGGTTCTCTCCCGGGTGAGCGCCACTTACCGCCTGTGTGCTGTTTCCCCTCCCTTCCGTGTCCGGCTGGCTTCTGCCCTGCTCATGGTCCCGTTTCTTCTCTTTCAGGAACAAAGAAAGGGTGAGTGAGGTGCCGTCGTGGGGATCCCTGAGGTTGAGAACGTGGACGCCTGTGGTTTGAAGCTGAGATGGGTCCAGGGGAAGGGGTTGGAGGCGGAGGTGGGGGCAGCCCCGTTTGGGCGGACATCCGGGTCTCTACCTGTCCCTGTTCCCTGTAGCCTTGTGTTTGTCCTGTCTGCCCACACCCACACATCCCTGCTGAGAACTCTGTGCTTCTGTGAAGCTGAGTCCAGCCTCTGGCGCTGGCGAGCAGAGGCTAAGGGGAGCACTAGGGACTGAGCATCTCCATCCTCTGGCTTGTCTGCAGGACCTCGAGTAAGAAGGCGATTTACAGCCAGCCCAGTGCCCGCAGCGAAGTGAGTGTGCTACCCTGGGACAAGGAGGGGGCTTCTGGCCTGTGTCCCACGCACAGGAGATGAGCAGCTAAAGGCCAGGATAGAGTTGATTTGATGTTTCTGTTTCCCCAGGGGGAGTTCAGGCAGACTTCGTCATTCCTGGTGTGACCCTGGTCCGGCTCATCTCCTGTCCTCTGTGCTTGCCTTACGCTGGTGCTACCAGACTCTGGCCCATGATGTCTGTACTTTCACAGAATGCCTTATGTGTCTTCTAGCCCCACAAGGGTCCCCACTTTTATCTTAGTTAGGATGTGTTTTTTTTGTTTTTTGTTTTTTTTTAATAATGTCAGCTGTGCCCCCCTTCCTCCTGCCCCTCCCCTCTGTTCCCACCACTGCTGAGTGGCCTGGGACTTGTTTAAAGCTTTCGTTCCCCATCCCTATGAGGGATCAGGCAGGAGTCCTGATTGATGCTCCTCGACCTCCCTCCAAGTAGGCGACAACAGTGGCAGGCACTCTCTACCCACCCACCCCAACCCGCATGTCAGGGCCCGTGAGTAGTGACCTTGAGCTTATGCCGCGGCCCTCTCCTCATGCTGAGGAGGTATCTGCAGTTCCAGGGTGGAGACTGGAGACGGAGCAGCTGACAGGTTGTTTGGGGACCACACCCAGTCTCTCCTGCCTCTGCAGCCCCCTTTGTTCTGTCTTCCCACGGGAAGTGCCACTGGGATCCTCTTGCACTGCCCTTGACCCAAGCAGACCGGCACCAGCTGTGTCTTCGGGAAAAAAACAGGAGCTTTGGTTCTGTGTGGAGAGCACAGCGAGCTTCCAGGGGACATGGAGCAGAAGCGCTTTAAACCCCTGAGAGAAAAGGAAGCTGGAGCTGGAAGCTCAAACTCTCACCGTTGGCTGCAGCAGCTGGGCGGACGCTGTTGAGATGCGTCTGCAGGGCGGTGGGAGTGAGTGCAGTAGCTCATAGCCCTTTGCTGAGCGCCTGTATGCCTGTGCGCGTGGTCTCAGTTGCTGAAATCCAGTGTGTGCCGGAGGGCTTCTTAGCTCTTCCGTGAGATTTTGTTGGTGTGTGTTTGGATGTTGCTGGAAATAAAACCTTGGTTTATCAAAGCTTCTTGCTGTGGGAAGTGGGGAAATGAGGTTCCTGGGCTCCATTGTACAAACAGGAAGCTGCCCGAAGCTCCATTTCCCTGCAACCTGGCATGGTCCTGGCTCCCTGTCCCACCCCTTCCTGGTTCCTGTCTCAAGGTGGAGCCTCTGAGCGCCCGACCCTCAGTCTAGAGCCCTCTTGTGGCAGCGCGAGAGCCTTCTGCTGGAGGAGTGCCCCGGGGAAGCCGAGCCTGTGCTCCGGGCTTCTGCTGGGTCTCATCCACTGGGTGGGAGGGGCATGTGCCCACCCTCCCCGCTCTGCCAGCCCGATGCATTAATAGACTTCTCTGCGGCTGCGGGGAAACTCCAGAGCCCGAGGCAGGAGGAGTCCTCAAACCTTTTGAAGAAGTCTTTCTTTAGTAGTTGTTTAAAGCAGCAATTACTATTTTACTTAAGCTGGATGGGGGGGAGGGGGAGCTGCTGTTTGAGGAAAAGACAGTTTTGAGACCAGGACAGAAGACTGGATGGATGGATGGGAGTGAGCAGCAGTAAGCAAGGTGGCCTGCCTGTCATTGCTTCCTTCTGTCCATCCGGAGCCTTTTTTTTTTTTTTTTAAAGATTTTATTCATTTATTTGACAGACAGAGATCACAAGTAGGCAGAGAGGCAGGCAGAGATAGAGGAGGAAGCAGGCTCCCCGCCAAGCAGAGAGCCCGATGTGGGGCTCGATCCCAGGACACTGGGATCATGACCTGAGCCGAAGGCAGAGGCTTTAACCCACTGAGCCACCCAGGTGCCCCCATCCGGAGCCTTTTTTGCCCTTAGATTTCTGTTTCCCCATCTACTGCAGTCCCCCAGTCTATTAACCAGCAAGAGGGCAAGTACGGGGTTTCCCAGGGCTGATACTGCTGCTTTGTGTGGAGGACGCTGAGCCCCACTTGGCCATGTTTTATTCCCTTATCTGGAAATCCCTAACAGAATCGAGTGTTCTATCAAGAATCTAAAGGGGAAAACAAAACCAACCAGACCATCAGTTAAGGGTCATGCACCAATAAAAAGTGAATATTCCAGATGGAAATAAAATTTAATGAAACAATAAAAGTAGAGATTATGGAACGGTTCAGTAAGAATGAGATTTTTAAAGTATGTTTCAGCTTTGTGTCTTGCTTGGGAGATGGGGGGGGTGCGGAGAGAAAACACCACAGGACAGCAGAGGTAGGTGATTCATTGTTCCTCTAAGTCTGAGGTGAAGGGTTCCTCACTCCCTCAGTTGCTTGTGGTGAGTTGGAGTCATTTATTACCAGCCTTGGAATTTACCTCTGCAGCTTACCACAGCCTCTATGAGTTGGAAAACACCTTGTCTTGTTTTCATTTTGAAATGTTAAAACTCACTTTTGTAATAAATGTTTATTTTTCACATTGAGTTTTGTTTAAAATCCTGAGGGTCTGTATTAAAAGAAGAGGGACTTCGGAGTGACTTGGATATTCAGAATCTTCCTGATAGCCTTATTAAGAGATTTGAGGAATCCTTCCACAGAGCCTGATAATGTGTCTTAAACTTAGAGTTGGTCTGTGCCTGAATGGGGTTGATGCAAATGGACATTCTCTTAAATTGAAGTAGCACCTGGGGGAAGCAGTTCTATGGAGACAGGTGTTTTGAGACAAACCCAGTGTGATTGGGGATAAAATGATTGTCAAGGATGTCTGCTTTTTTTTTTTTTTTAAGATTTTGTTTATTTTACAACACAAGCGGGTGGGGGGGAGTAAGTGGGGGAGGGAGAAGCAGGCTTCCCACTGAGCAAGGAGCTTGACCCAGGGCTCATCCCAGGACCCTGGGATCAGGCGCTTAACTGAGCCACCCAGGTGCCCCAGGATGTGTTCTCTCTTAACAGATTCTACAGATGGGGGCACCTGGCTGGCTCAGTTGGTGGAGCATATACCCCTTGATTTTGGGGTTGTTGGTTGTAGGTTTCAGCCCCATTTTGGATGTAAAGATTACTTAAAATCTTAAAAAGGGGTGGTTAAGTGACCAACTTTTGATCTCAGCTCCGGTCTTGATCTCAGGGTCCTGAGTTCAAGCCCTGCATTGGGCTGCCCACTGGGCGTGGAGTGTACTTAAAAAACAACCTTAGAACAGAATGAAGGACAGGAGGGAAATAGGTTTGGTCCATTTCAGAATGAAGGGACAAGTATGTTTTATGGAGGTATGGGGACAACTTAAGGGGAATAAGTGAAAAATGCAACTTTAAGGGAAAAAAGCTCTAGTTCTGTAGATCCTTTGATTTATTACCCCTTTGGTATTAGCTGTAAAAATTTAATGAACTGGGAATTTTTCTTTCTTGAGGGGTAACTTGTTGAATGATTATTATCACCCATTCAATTATTTACTGGGTATTACCAATTTCCCTATTGCACAGATAGGGAAAAGAGGCACAAACGCTTAGTAACTTGCCCAAATCCACAACCAGTATTCGGCAAGTGAAAGGTCTGGGATTCAAGAGAGCTGGGAGAGAAGGTTCCGGAATGGGAAAGAATTCGAAAAGAGGAGGAGGAGCTGGAAACAAGTTCACTTTCTTTTTAGGAGTGGATGTGTGGGTGTTAGGAGAGAGGACATTGAAAGTAATGATGTCCACCTGGGCTCCCCGACCCCTGCCCCCAACTGTGACTGTCACTTTAGTCTGACATCCCAAAAGCACCTATAGGACAGAATAGCCTATGAGTGCCACCTTCTGGAATGAAGGATAAAGCCACTGCATGTTTGCCAGTGACACGGAGGCAAGGCATGCATATATTTGTGGACGGCAAAGAGGAGCCACATCAGCTTGCAGAATGAGAATTCAGAAACATCTCGATGGAACAAACGTGGTTACCAGAGGGGAGGGGGGTGGGGGCTGCGGGTGAAACAGGTGAAGGGGAGTGAGTCCATCTCTCTTGACTGCTGAAATACATGAAGTTGCTGAATCATTACATTGTGCACCTGATAATATGACACTGTATTAGCTACACTGGAATTAAAAATAAAATCTCAATAAGCAGGAATGATACACTCGATCTTACAGACCAAAATTCAATAGTAGTAAGTGTAAGATTCTGCCTTTGGGTCCAAAAAGTCAACTGGTCACAAATGAAGTTGGGAAGATGTAGAACATCTGGAACTAGGCAGTCAGTCTGCTGATGGCATTTACCCCCGTATCAGCTTCTTGAGGTGCCACACTTCAAGATCTTGGACTATAGACCAACTGGAACCTGTTCATAAACGTGATGTGGAAGGTATAAAAGAGTTGATGGCAAGGTAAGAGTCAAAGACTCTAGGAAGACAAAATTATGGCCTATAGATATTTAAAGATTACTGTATGGATGGCTCAAGGAAGAAAATTAGGACCAGTGGCTGGATGTCCGAAGAAGAGGGGTTATAATTCAGACTGTGCTCTTCAGAGCTCTCAGGAGCATGGTGAGTGCCGGCTTTGGAGTCGCAGACCTTGCTTGACTCCCCCCTTTGATGTTGGCAGAGTTTTCTCTGTCAGTCTCTTGTCACCTAACAAATGGTGATAATACCCAGCCTATGACGTTTTTAGAAGCAAATGAGGCAAGATCTGGAAAGCACTTTATGTTACATCACACAAGAGCTGAGCATGATTGCTTTCAAACTGGGTATTTTAAGCCAGAGGTTGGCAAACTTACAGCAAATGACCAGAGAATAAAATTTTTATTACTATTACAGAAGTTTATTTAACAAAAATGTTCAATAAGAAATGTGCTTGACCTAATTTTTATATTGCATTAAAACGTGCTGTAGAAAAAAGACATGGAAGCATTTGATTTCTCTGCTTTATATTCTGGTTTAGTTCGTACTCTGTGGAAGGCTTCTACTGTGATGTAGTCTTTCCTCCAATTATCATCATTCCAATGTTGCTGTGTCTCCCACAGGTTGCCACTTCTCATGCTCATCCCTCACAGAATTCATGAAGGGGCCCAATCACGATATTCCTTAGACATAGCTACTACCATTTAATTCCAACGATAACTTCTTGCCCATAAATTTTCCCAGTTCAGCATGTGGGCATTCACCCGGCAAGCTCAAAGATACCTTCAAAGAAATTTTTTTAGACTTTTAGACATACAGTCTCTATACAACTTTATATAGCAAGAAAACA